TGTTTGGAAGAATTCAGATTTTAATTCTGAATTTTAACTTCACATTTCAAGTTTATAGTTTTCTCAATGTTAAGAGTTCATAATTAGAAAGCTCTTCTCAAAAAAACACCTCTTGTCCATTATAAAGTTTGCAGGCCATTAAGTCCTTTTCATCGCCTTTGTAAAAGCTCTAAGATACAAAATGGGCTAAATGTATGCGATGATCACTGCCTTCCTAAATGGGCTTCAAGAAAATTTACGGGGAAATTCCCATCTTTTAATTTCACTTGTACTTTCTACAACCTGTTCTTTCACCTTCTAGGTATTTTAATGTGGTGTACTTTTCTTTTCCCATATCATATGAAGTATAGCTCTGCACACTCTAATATATACTTTTTAATCTTGCAGTTTTATTGGCATATGATTCACATGTCATACAATTCTTCTCCCCAACCTCCCCTTCCATACTCTTAATATCATTTTAAGGGATGATCATTCCCATTTTGTAAGGACACGTTGTTGTTAGGTGTCGTGGAGTTGCTTCCGATTCATAGTGACCCTGTATGCACAGTCTAGTGCCAGCCTCTGCTGCTGCCACTGTGTCAACCGTCTTCCTCTTTTTCTACTTCCCACATCTGATGTACTTCTCCAGGCACCGGTCCTTCCTGATAATGTGTCCGGAGTGAAGTGTAGTCTTGCTACCCTTGCTCCTATGGAATATTCTGATTGTACTTCTCCCAAGACAGATCTGTGTTTTCTTCTGACAATCCATAGTATATTCAATCTTTTTAGCTAACATCGTAACAAAGGCATAAATCCATCTTACTCGTTGTCCAGCTTCTACACGCAGATGAGAGTGACAGTATCATGACTTGGGTCAGGAGCATCTTAGTCCTCTAAGTAACACCTTTACTTGTAATACTTTAAGTGGGTCTCGTGTGGCAGATTTGCAGAATGCACTACTTCACCATTTCATGACTGCTACTTCCATGTGTCGATCATGGCTCCAAGTACAAGGAAATCCTCGACAACTATAATCTCTTCCATATCTACAACTATAACCATTTACCATGTTACCCACTGGTCAAGTGGGGAGTTCTGTTTGGTGTTTGGGCGTAATCCATATTGAAAGCAGTAGTCTTTGATATCCATTAATTAGTAAGTGCCATAAGTCCTCTTTGCTGTCAGCAAGGTTGTGGTACCATGTACATTTTGCAGGCTGTTAAGAGTATTCCTTCAATGCTGATGTTGCGTTCTTCCCCACATAGTCCAACTTTTCAGCTTATTTGCTCAGTATATAGATGAAGTGTGGTAGAAGGATGCAACACTAGCCACATATCTCCTGATTGCAAACCACACAAGAACTCCTTGCTTTGTCTGGACTACTGGTCTACGTACTGGTTGAACATTTCCCCTTCTTTACAATGTTAGCCACATTTTGTTATGATCTACACAGCCCCAACACCTTTGCATGACCAATAAACCATCTTCCTGGTATTCCAAGGTCTATCTGACATTTAAAATGATACCCTCAATCCATGTTCTCTTCTAGATTCACATTAAGGTTCCAGAGGTTCTCAGACTGTGTATTACTGCGACTGGTTTTCTGCATTCGGCTGAATCGCTTCTCTTTTGAATGGGTACAAATAGGGATCTTCTCCAGTCAGCTGGCCAGAGAGTTTGTCTTTCAAATTTCTAGATACAGATAAGTGTAACCATATTACATTGGTTTGCTAAAACACCAGAACTAGTATTCCATCAATTCTGTGAACCTTGTTTTTCATCAATGACGTCAGTGCTGTTTTATATCTTCCTTCAGTTCCACTGGTATTGACATAATAATGTCATAGAAACCTGGAAAATGACTTTCCATAGCAGTTTGGAAGTCAACATTTTGTGGTTTAAAACTGAACCTAATTACTATGCACCTGCATCTTACTATAACATCTATAAATCAACTGAATTATCATGTTCATCAGAACTCTACCCACAATAGCAAGAAAATGGAAACAACTTAAATGCCCATCGATGGAAGAATGGGTACTCTGGCACATACCCCAATGGAATAATGATGAATCTGTGAAATACCTCTTGACATGGATGGAACTGGAGGACATTATGTTGTGTGAAATTAGTCAACCACAAAAGGACGAATATTGCTGAGACCATTATTACTAAAGATATAAAAAATAAAAATCAAGAAAAGTCTTTCATACTAAAAGAACCAGACTTTGATGGTTACAAGAAGGGAGGGAATGGGAAGTCATAGGCTAAAGGGTAGATAGACGGGTGTTAACTTGGGAGAAGGGGAAGATAATATCCAATAAAGGAGAAATGACGGGGAAAAATTATGGGAACAGAGCAATTGGGAGGTTTGATTAAAAAAAAAAATCTTTTTGAGGTTTGATAAATTGTTGAGTATAAAAATGATGATTCAATCAGTAAACCCTCTAATTCATGATAAAAAGTTAAAACAAACCAACCCAGAATACACGTGACCTTGGCTAGGCGATGCTTCTCAGTGGTTAGGCATTTATGTAATCATCCCCATGATGTCAACTGATGTGATCAGTCAATCAGTTGCTAAGTGGATTAGGGAGGGATCCAAAAACCAAACTCACTGCCAAAGATACCATTCCGACTCACAGTGCCCAGCCCTGATCCACAGGAGGATGTTTCCCTGGTGTGTGAAAGACAGACAGACAAAAGTTCAGTGGAGGGAGAAGTGAGTAGAAAGATATGAACTTGAGCACTCAGGTGCTTTACTAACTTCATATTCCTCCTAGATCCTGGGGAAGATTGATACCAACAAACAGGGAGAGCACCAAGGGATGACAGGTCCATAGATGCTGAAAAGAGACAGGACCTTCCCCCCAGAGCTGACAGACAGCCCCCCCCTCCCCCTGGAGCTAGCACTCTGAATTGGGGAGAGAGAACTGAGAGAGAATAAATTCTACATAAATCCACCGTGGTAGGCCTAGGTAGGTAACAAACACAAACACAATCTAAAACCAGTATTAGTGGCATCAAGTTAATTCTGACTCACAGTGACCCTACAGGACAAGGTGGAACTGCCCCTGTGGGTTTGAGACTGTGACCCTATGGGAGTAGACAGCCTGTCTTGCTCCCAGAGTGGCTGGGGGTTTTGAATTGTGTACCTTGTGGTGAGCAATGCAGCACTACAGCACTAGGGCTTCTCTAAAAGCAATGCTAATCCTAATGTTTTGTGTATTTGTCACTAGATAACTAAGAAACATTTGTTACAGTATTTGAACACAAAGAGTTCTAGAAGTGCAGCATATTTGTGATTTCTGCATTGTTCCATAAATTATCACTGAACTAATTTCCAAATCCAATCTGCAGTCCACATCAGCTCCCTGCTTTTTAATTCTATTCTACTTCCCTTTCCCTGTGATCTCCAAGGAGAGACGACAGGGCCTGAGATCATGTCATGCTCTTGGACGGTCTCATCTCCTAGGTATGGCTATAATCCAAAAGACTTTGGCTCACTGACATAATGGGTTCAGCTTCTTTATCTTAAAATCTTTTCTTGAGGTTCCTAAAAAATTCTGGAAACCTGGTTGACAATACTGTAATACACTTTTTCGTCTTTGCTAGTTCAGTCAATTGAATCAAAGCTTTAAGCTGTGTAACTGCAAAGTGAGTAACCATTATGTTACTTTAAGACTTCTCATTTGCATCTTGGGATTGATTACTCACTGCCACTAAAATTTCCTTCCTTCCTTATATGTAAATGTACTATGTTGTAACAACAGAAAGTCTGTAAGTTGCAAAGAGATAGCCACACATATTTATGCATTCCAGCACAAACATTTTTTTTAAAGACCATACTTGTTTGTTTTTTTCCTGTATAAAAAAAGGAGCCCATTATATAAAAAGTAGGTAAGAGGGGAAGACAATACATACCCCCTGGGGTAGGAAAACTGGAGGGGGGGGGAGGTAGAAAGGAGAAGAATATGCATCAAAAGGAGGGGAAGAGGTATATTATTAAGGCAGCAAAATATTCTCTGTAAAAAGATGATGAAGGCAGAGGCTAAGGCACAGAATGCCTCCTCAGTGAGGAGGTAGTTAGGGGAGGGGAAGGGGGTAGGGGATCCTCTGGGGGGGGGGTTCCTCTTCACTCAAGCCAACACAAACATTCTTATTGCTGCTTCCCAACATCAATAGTAGAGGCAAAACTATTTGCACTGACCCTTACCTATGCATTTTAGGATCTCAATCTTTACCATATATGTACATGCTTGCTCCCTAAATTCCCCATAGCAGCAATTGTTACACTATTGCCTATAAATTTAGCAGCCCTCTATGACTTTCTCTAAGGCACTGAAAAATTTCATTTGTGCACAAAACTTAAAACTCACAAAACTCATCAAGTCTTATCAGGACTCTTCTGGGATAAAAGACTTGTGTTAAAGGCACTATAAGACAACAGCAGGGTCATTCACTCTACTCTTGATAAGACAGATTTTAAGCAGAAACTCACATACCCACACGCCCTAGAACCTGAGTCTTCTATTACTACTACTACTCACTACCACAGAGTAATCCTGACCCTACAGGGCAGAACAGAATTGTCCTTGTGGGTTCCTGTGACTAGTTGTTTACAGAAATGGAAAGCCTCATCTTTCTCCTGTGGAGCAGCTTGTGGTTTGGAACTGTATACCGTACCTGAGGTTATCATCCAAACATGTGACCATTGCGCCAGGAGTCAATTGTATATTCCTTTTACTTAAATGATGTGTCGTACACACCGAAACCTTCCTCTTGTAGAAAAATGTCAAAAGCTGTCCAAGTGCCTACTTTTGTAACCATCTGAATTCTTTATATTGTCAACATTAAGCTATAGCCGAAAGGGTCAGGGCTAAGACAATACCTGGTGCTTTAGGTGAGACAAGCAGGAGTCTAGAAGGGAGAAGTTTCTAGTGAAGTTTCAACTATTCTAAAAACAAGAGTAGATAATCGTGCCAACCCAGGTGATAATACAGAAAAATGCCACTTACCAATTGCCCCTGACCCAAAAGTATCATCATTGAATTGGTCAATCTCTTCATCTTCCTCTCCCAGGCCCTGAAATGCATCTTCATCTTCATCTAGAGGGCAATCCTCTAAAGACTATATGAAAGACAAAAAGAGGAGGAAAGAGCTAAGCGTTTCATTACATCACATCTTCATTTTAAAAACGTTCATTTTCTCTTCTCTAATGAACATAGCTTTATTATGACGTCCTGTAAAGATGGCCTATTCTTCACTCCCCAATTTGTTATATTTTAGGATCTTCCTTTCTTTCAATTGCTATCGTCTGTTCCTTACATCATTTCTCCTTCTTCGCCAAGTGTTTTGGTTGTACAATATTTCAAGTCTCTAATAGCATTTCCTCATGAAATGAAGGAAGTAGGCCTGCAACTACCTTTACACCACGGGTTGGAGCAGAATGAAAACAAATACTGCATCATTTTGCTTGAATTTGATGTATCCTTTCCAACAAAGTTCTCATCTTCCTCATCATATTCATGCCATATTTTACAGACGATTAATCCCTTGTAAAGCTTTCTCTTCATCTTCCACTCTTTCCCTTTAAGTCCAAACTCTAGTCACACAACAGAAAGCTAACTTTTCAGTGAGTACCGATAAATGAATTCTGGGAAAGCAGTAATATGGCAAACTGAAGTTCTGGTTCCACCACTTACAAGCCCTGTTCTTTCTGATAGGACAACAATCATGTTTCAGGCTCTGAGCTAGGCTCTAAGCTTTAGTCTTCTAAACTGTAGTTTGAGTACAATAAACTCACAGCCATTGAGTGGATGCATGGGGACCCTCCAGGAGTTTGCAGACGGTAACTCTTTACAGGATTTACAATCTCTTATGGAGTTATGGGAAAGCCCCATCTTTCTACAGAGGAGTGGTTAGGGGTTTCGAACTGTGGACCTTGCAGATTGCAGCCCAACCATGTAGCTGTGACAGGCTTTGATGGGTCCCTGGTTGTTGGTGCCATCAAAAACAGTAACTGTGACTTGAACACATTAAAATGTTGAGTTTAAAACTTTCCCCCCTTCTATGTCACCCTTTTCAACTGAACCTCCATGCGGTCTTTTTTCTTTTGGCAGCTTCTGCACCCTGTATCCCATCATCTTTCATGCTTACGTAAGAGCTGTTTGGTCTTAACGCCTATTAAGTATGAAGCAGATCTGCTTATAAATTCCAAAGGCTCAGGATCAGAGCACCACAAACTCTTAATAGGTAAGCTTGGTGATAACCTTGCCCGGCTGGCTACCTCTTAGCAAAGTTGTCATCCCCCAAATCCAAACGGACTCAGAGTTCAAAGTTACCAGGTCATCCTATCCAGCCTTAAGACCTCACAAACGTTCTTAAAGCAGACTCACTAGCTACTCCGGCCCTCCACATCAAAGGTAATTTCCAGTCACACACACCCTTCCAAAGGACAGGGATCTACTGAGCCAAATCACCGTTTGTTTTGAATTGGAAAGACATGCCCTTTGATTCTACAAACCCAGAAACTTTGGCCCAGAGATCTGGGGTCACCCAAGGTCACACAGTGGGTTAGTAATAGGGTCAGAATTCCCGGCACCCGGCACCCAACTCAAGCCACCCTTCATTCGTCCAGGAAACTTCTGCTGGACACGCCCCTTCCAAATTGGAGGCGCCCCCCCCCCATTAGCACATAGTCTAGGAGCCAAGTCAAGGGGCAGGTCCATGCTCCCTCGACTGGGCTGCTGAGTGCGTGCGGGTCGCTTTGAATCTGGGGAGACAGGGGTGCACACCCCAGGGCGGGAAACGCGGCTCTGGGCATGCCGGTGGTGGGGGGCGAAACTACCTCCTCAAGAAGGGCTGCGGGATCGGTGCAGAGCGCTCCCCTACAGGTCTCGTCCTCGGACGGAGGTGGAGGGGCCTGGTCGCCGCGGGTAGCGGGCCCTCCCCAGGGCAGAACCGAGGCCAGCTCTCCCCAGCG